TGTGGTGCCACAAAGAGGCATTAGGCAGGGTGATCCATTGTCACCCTACTTATTCCTCCTATGCTCGGAAGGTTTTTCCAATCTCCTCCAAAAGGCTGCGACTGAGAAAAGAATTGAAGGCATGCGAATCAGCAGGAGGGGACCAAGACTAACCCATTTATTTTTTGCAGATGACTCTTTGATATTTTGTAAAGCAGATTCCCAGAATGCAGCTGAGCTCAATAGGTTACTGAACGTTTATGAAAGAGGTACGGGCCAGTTGATTAACCTGGAAAAATCCTCAGTCATCTTCAGCAACAATATGCAGCAGGAAACGAAGGAGGAAGTCAGCCAAGCTCTAGGAAATCTCCATGTTGTAAGCCAAGGTAAATACTTGGGTCTTCCAATGGTGGTAACAAGATCTAAACAGCAGCTGTTCGGATACATTAAATCCAGTATTCAACAAAGACTAAAAAAGTGGAAAAATAAACTTTTGAGTGCAGCAGGTAAGGAGATTATGCTCAAGTCTGTGGCATTGGCTCTGCCAACATACACAATGTCTTGCTTCAAGTTACCTAAAAAGTTGTGCAAGGAGATTAATTCCACAATGGCCAACTATTGGTGGGGTGAGGAGAATGGGAAGAACAAGATTCACTGGAAAGCTTGGAACAAGATGTCGCGGGACAAGAAGGCAGGTGGCTTAGGCTTCAAGGATTTGGAGGCTTTCAATCTAGCCTTATTGGGAAAGCAGATTTGGAGGTTGCTCACTCAACCAAATTTGCTGGTCAGTAGAGTTCTAAAGTCCAGGTATCACCCAAAGCAATCTATTTTCAAGTGTAAAGTTGCAGGGAATGCTTCATGGATTTGGAAAGGACTGATGCGAGCTAGGCTGCTGGTTGAAGAAGGAACTCGAAAAAGGATTGGTAATGGCCTGAGTACTAACATTTGGGAGGACAACTGGATTCCTATGACACCAAATGGAAGAGTGACAACACAGCAGCCACAAGGAGTTAATTTGGTTAAGGTGGCAGACTTGATCGTCCAGAAAAGATGGAACAAGAACCTTCTCTTTAGGAATTTCACCTCCACGGAGGCAGAAGGAATACTAAGCATCCCTATAAGCTTAGTAGACAGAGAGGACAGCAACTTTTGGATTCATAATTCAAATGGGCATTATTCAGTGCGATCAGCCTACAGGGTACTAACTGAAGAGTTGAAGGCTTTCGAGCAGGAGTTCAGGGGGCCAGCTAGTACTAGCTGGAGTATCCAAAGTCAGAAAAATTGGAAGTACCTGTGGAAACTGAATATTAAGCATAAAGTGAAGCTTTTCTTATGGAAATGTCTCAACCAAGCATTACCTGTAAGACACCTCATTCACAGTAGAACACAACAAGGTGATCCTACTTGTAGAGTGTGTGGAGAAGAATGCGAAACAGTTGAACACGCGTTACTCAACTGTAATCATGTTAAACTGGTGTGGAGAATGGCACCTATCCAATGGGAGGGAATTACAAATCTGCAAGGCTGTTTTGGTTCGTGGTGGACAGCGGTGATGGAGGCGAGGTCGAGAAGTGAGGGATATGAACATATTTCTCTCACGGCTAACATTCTTTGGCAGATTTGGAAGAGCAGAAATGCGAGGGAATTTGAAGGTAAGCAGCATCTCCCAATACAAATAGTGCAGAAAGCTCATGAGGAATGGTTGGAATATGGTGAAGCTACGGTCACTGCTTTAAAGAGGAGTACAGAAGAAACAGGAGACCAGCCGCAACCCCCCCAGCAACAAGAAGAAACAGCAGGCATTCTGAGATTAAGATTTGCTATCGAAAACAGCAAAGACAGCCCCCAAATGGGGATTGGAGCAACTGTCTCTTTGGATAATCAACAACTGATGAGAGGATGGGCTCTACGGGAAAGATGTTCTGGCCATAAGCTAATTGATGAACTTACTGCAATTAAGCTACTGATTTGTAAAGCTGCTGTACAGAATTTGGAGCGGTTAGAAGTTCAGGTCCAGAACAAGCAGACACTCCATCTTATCCAGCAGCCAAAATCTTCAGATATGCGAGTGGTCACACTGCTGGAGGATATACATAACCTTAAGCACCTGTTTCGTATGTGTTCCTTTTGCCTAGTTAACAGGGATATTAACCATATTACTCATAGGATTAGCGCTCATGCGCTAGATTTTTTTGTTGACCAGGAATTCTGGATTCCTCAGTGATAGTTAGCACAGACTGTGCAGTTCCCTCAAGTCTTTACTTGAAATTGTAAAGGTTTTGTTCATCTATAAAATCACTTATCGTTTCGAAAAAAAAAAAAAAATAACCGCTGCTGACATTTAACATTGCAAATTGCATTCCAACATCATTGCTGCTATCCACATTGATTTTCTTTCAACAAATGCTAACTAATTCAATAGATTATTGGAAAATATCTCAATAAAGATGAATTCTGTAGCGATCATCAAAAGCTCTCAAATAAAACTGAGCAATAAATTTGGAGAACAGTGGCATATTGTATCAATGAAACTCAAAAGTCAGAATTCATGACAACCTGGCCAATAGAAAAGAAGTCTGCAGCAGATATAGGGAAGGTAGAATAGAGTAGAGAAAGGAGAAAAAAAATGGCACGGCAGCGGACAAACAACTTACTTGGCCAACGAGGAAATAAACCGTGGACGTAACTAAGTGATTCAAGATTTAATATTCTAGAGATTCTTTTTTGAGATACAGTATTCTGAACCAACAATCCAAAGAAAGTCTACTACTAGCAAGAAGTGGAGACTTGCTAGTATTATCTTCTTCTGTAGTATTTTTAGATATCTGGCAGATTCAGGATATTCAGTCCTTCAAAAATCTGCTTTGTCTTGCATTAGATTTCATTGATTTCCTAGAAAAATTATCAGAGGGGTAAGTCATGGGATTCCATCAACTAGTTGCAAAGCTCAGTAAATTGCGGAAAAACAAAATGTTTGTTGATTTGGATATCAACAAACTGCGGCTACGATTGTTAGACCAGTACTTGCTAGAATTGCCTGACAGGTTGTCAGCCTGTGCAATAATAAAACCTGCTCAAACTAAAAGTAATTTCAGTAGATAGCGGTGAGCAGGGTCGAATCCACAGGGACTGGGAGTAATTGTTTCTTTTCAAGTTCACAATGACAAGGGGGTGTTTTCACTGGAATGGAACTAAAAACAATTTGACAATTTAACTAAAAAATGAATAAATAACTAGCACAAATATAACAGGAATTTAATCAGGAATAAATAAATTCTAGCCAAGGATGCAACTATTCAGGCACAGTCCATGTATCCGATCATTGATGCAAGAGAGGTTCACTTAATTTATTAATAGACTAGTTATAGCCATCGAGGAACTCTAATGACCAATTTTTCCTTAATTTATAGGTGACCAAGGTACGACCATTAGTCACCCCTAACTAGAAAAGTACTCCTAGGTACGACCGTAGAAATTAATTTTCCAATTGCATTAATAACCAGAAAAACCTAGCCCTAATCAATAACACGCTACGAGGGTTATTTAAATTAGATTGCACGCTCCCCTAATGTGTAAACATACCAGTTGCCACTAATATTAATCAATCAAACAATTACGGATTTAATTGACTAAATTGGCACGAGATTAATATATCACATTGAACATCGGGCCCTTGACATCCAATTAATAAAATAATCCCATGAAAATTAAATCAGACAACATGCAAATATTAATAGATAAAGGAACACGGGAAAACTAATTAGATCTCACAAATTTTCGGGACTGCGCCGTCGAGTTGACCCTTGACTAGATGGAAGATTTAGCCACTCCGCATAATTAAATCACCACACAGATTAATAGATTGCAAAGGCATTGCGTTTTCTATTAAGAAGCAAGGAATAAAAGGTGTTTTTCCCGTTAAGGAATATCGTCGAACACCTGGCGTGTGTCAGAGGCCAGTCAGGAGAAAGAAAAACTAAAACTAAACTAAAAGACTAGAAAACTAGAGATGTCTTCTTTCCCTACGTTATCCCTATTTAAGAAACAAAAGAAAGATAGACTAAAGCTATCTAGGTGGTCCCCACACATGTGGACAAAGCCTCCCAAGTACTTCTTGTTCCAAGTCTCTTTTACTAGCTTTCTTTGAAGAGCCCAAATGACTTATAGCTTTGTGGTCCCCACCAATCCAAGGGCCCAAGGATTGAAGCCCTTAGAAGTCTCCATATTCTTCATAAAATCCCTCCTTTTTGGTAGTTTTCTGTTTCATTCCTGAAATTAAATCCAGATACCAAATATGAGTAGATATCAGCAATTAACACAATATTTATCAGGGATAAAAGAGGAAATTCATAATAAAATTACTAACAAATTATACCCTATCATTGCCACTGCCTGATCAAGACGAAACTATTGATTGCATCGTGGACAACCTGGGGTTTCACCTCTCTTCTTGTGAAGATTGGAGGCATCTAATCAAAGACATTGAAAGAAAGCCAAAACTCAGTGAAAATCTCCTTCACTCTGCCATAATGCATGGCGATATAGATGAACACAACACTATTCACTCCATAGTGGACAACATGTGGATCAACCACTTGTCCTTCCGCCATGATTGGAGGCATCTAATCAAGGACCTTCAACGAAAGCTCAAATTCACTCAAAATCTCCTTCGCTTTGCCACAATGCAAGGTGTGAAGCAGATGCAATTGATAGATCTCTTGGCTCATTGTACATTTCTTGCCGTCCATGCTGAATGTCTGCGTGATTTTCGTTTGTCTGTTGATTTTGGTTTGTGCAATGATGTCGAATTTGAAATTTCTCAAGTGCAACAGAAGGTTAGGCTTGTTGATCCCTAATTCAGTGTAACTTCCATCCGAGTCCTGAAAGCTTCAAAAGTGGTGTCCAGATCATCAATCACTTTGACTCTGGGCAAAAACAAACATATAGTGGAAGGTTTCCTCGATTCTCTTCAAACTGGTCTTAGGCTGCTACTAGAATGTTTTGTCACTTTTACAGCACCTATGCTGAAACTCTACGAGGGAGTAAGGTTCCTGACTATTCTTCTCAGTTTAAAGCACGAAAAATTCTACGAACTATCTGACAAAATGAAGGATCGAATTGGAGTAATGATCATTGATGTAGGAATTCTAATTTGCTCCATTTCTATGGATGAAATGAAAGATGGCTTCGCCAAGGAAACAGACTTTGTTCTATTCCATTTGTTGGAAGAGCTCCAGTTTGTTATGGAAGAAGTTGCACAAATTTATCCACCATCATCATTACAACTAAGTTTCCCCAGGACTAATGAGCTGGGCTTTATTGATTTTCTTCTAGAAAATCTCAAGGAAGTAAAGGCTGGTTCAAGTACTTTCCCAATGGCTGAAATCAAGACAGTCCAAGAAGATCTTGTAGTCATAAGATCTTTCCTAGAGAAAATTGTGGACCAGCGCAACCAGAATGAAAAACTCCAAGGTTTTTGGAGTCATGTTATGGAAGTTGCATACAAGGTTGAATTCATAATTGAATCTACAGTGCTTGGTGATGAACATGAACATTGTCTGGGATCTGTTGCCAGAGAAATCAATCTTATTAGGATTGAGGCCCTTGAGATCTATGATAACATTAGGCATGATGGTGAGACCCCCAGAGTTACCCAGAATTTGATTCAAATGCCATCACATGTTACTGCTCCAATATCCAGTGAAGATTTTGTGGGTCTCAAAGACGAGATGGAAACTATAATTAATAGACTAACCAGAGGATCAATGCTGTTGGATATTGTTCCTGTTGTGGGTATGGCTGGACTTGGTAAGACAACATTAGCCAATACGGTTTACTGTGATCCTTCAGTTATTATACACTTTCCTATTCGTGTTTGGTGTACTGTTTCTCAAGCATATATCAAGCACAATTTGATAGCTCAGATTCTGTCTTGCATTGCTTCTGGAAGTTCTGATGAATACCTTAAAATGACAGAAGATGATTTGGCAGAAAAGTTGTACAAGTGTTTGAAGAGAAATAGGTATCTCATCATTTTGGATGATATGTGGGACATTGGGGTATGGAATTTGTTGAAAACTTCACTACCAGATGATGCCAATCAAAGCAGGATTCTGTTCACCAGCAGATTTCAGAATATGTCTATGCAAATTAAACCTGATAGCAAGCCTCACCATCTTCGCTCACTTACTGATAAAGAGAGTTGGGAATTGCTGCAAATTAAGCTATTTGGCAACGTAGGTTGTCCTCCATCATTATGTGAAGTTGGAATTCAAATAGCAAACAACTGTAAGGGCCTACCTCTCTCAGTTGTCCTTGTTGCTGGAATTCTTGCTACTACTACTCAAGATTGTGCAATGTGGGAAGAAGTTGCTAAAAGTCTAAGTTCCAGCATTGTTCTTGAAGCTGAGCAGTGTATGAAGACACTTGAGAAGGGACTTGACAGACCACATGAAGCCTTGCCTTCTTTACTTTAGTGCATTTCCAAAAGATAAAGACATTTCTGTCCGAAGTTTGTTATGGCTTTGGATCTCTGAAGGATTTGGGCAAAGAACTGAAGGGAAAAGCTTAAAGGATGTGGCACACAAATACTCGGTGGATCTCATCGCTAGAAGTTTAGTTATGGCTACCAAACAAAAAGCTAGAGGTGGTGCCAAGGCTTGCCGAGTTCATGATTTGGTACATGAGTTTTGTGTGGCAAAAGTCAAAGAAGAAAGTTTTCTACATACTTTACAGCATGGTGACATTTTCACTTATACAGGACCGTGCAACCCCTATCGACTGTGTATTTACTCGCCAACTGGGTCTGATCAAAAGTCTGTGGAGCTTGAGCAATCAAGGCTTAATTTTCCCTACTTGCGTTCTTTGCTCTTCTTTGCTAATGGTGCTTGGGCGTTTGACGTGCTGGATTTTTTTACAGGGTTTTGGATGTTTAAACTTCTTAGAGTGTTAGATTTGGGGGAACCATTTTTTGTTGCTACCTGTTTTCCAAAGGAAGTAACATGGCTTGTTCACTTGAGATACTTAGCAATTCATGGACACACAAATTACATTCCATCAGCCATAAGCAACCTGTCAAGGTTAGAAACTTTTCTGGTAAGAGGATGCATTGCTGATGTTCTGTTGCCAAATACCATCTGGAACATCAAGACATTGAGGCATCTATATATAACACGGTCCGAGAAAGGTTTTAGTTTTCCCATTGACAGTAAACTTGAAGATCGCCTGGATTTAAAGAATTTAGCCACTTTAGCTCTTGCAATTGATCCCTCTTTTCAGTGCTTGCAAAAGATTCTAACAAAGTTACCAAGCATCCGCAAGATAAGATGCACACCACTCGGATCAAGAGAATCTACTGGAAATCACAATGGGATTCTTGTGCTGGACTATTTGAGTCAACTAGAGTCACTTAACGTGCGTGGATTTGTAGGATATGAGTTTGAATTCCCTCTGAATTTGAAAAAGTTGACTCTTTCATCTAATCATCAGCCATGGAGTGAGATTTCTGTTATTGGAAAGCTGCCAAACCTTGAAGCGCTTAAATTAGAAAGCAGTTCGTTTGTGGGGGAAAAATGGGAAATGAAAGAAGGGGAGTTCTGTAGACTCAGATTCTTGAAATTGTTATTGTTAGACATTCGCATTTGGACTGCCTCTTCTGATAATTTTTCCTGTCTTGAGAAACTGGTTCTGCATATTTGTCCACATCTAGAAGAGGTCCTTTCTTGTTTAGGGGAAATTCCGACACTTGAAATGATTGAGGCGAAATCCTGTCCTGAATCTGCATTAAGTTATGTCAAGCAAATTCAGATGGAAATGGGAAATGAGGGTCTCAAGATCGTCACTGAAAGATGTTGGTGATCCATGTTTTCTTAGCACTCAGATCAGAAGGAGAGTCCATTTCCTCTCATCACATTCTACAGCTGGACCAAAACTCATGTTGCTTCTTGATTTTGGAGAGTTAATCCATGGCGAGTGGAATTAATCTATGGTGAGATTCCACACATTAGCTTATATATACTCCCTTAGTACTTTCTCTAAACATTGGATCAGTTCAATAATGTAATTCTTCGTGTTTCTTGTAGCAATTTCTGGTATTCCCCAAATCTTTAATTTGAACTTGATGCAGCTATAACTTTCTGTTTGCTATAAAGAACTGTCATGCATTCATGAATTAACATTATCTATCATAATCTGTATCTAATATGTTCTCATGTTCTTTTTGTGAGAACCTTGAAAATATGTATATAAATATCAATGCATTCTTCATTTGCATTTTGTTTTTATTCTTTAATACGTTTTAGCATTATAACTACTTGTTTCTAATAAGTGCGTAAAGATAATTTTATGCAATAAATAATATAAATGTGTTAAATATTAAATTATTTGGTTTTGTTATGCTAAATCAACATTCTTTGAGTTAGATAATTTTATTGCCTTAAAATAAATTCGTTGAATGTCGATAGTTAGCTTTAATCGTTAAAAATGTCAAGGTGTTAATAGGAACCTTAGTATTAAGATGAAGTCGATAAATTTAGGCAATATCGATACGAGTATTCTTAGAATTCTTAAGAAAAAAAAATTCGGATAATTGAACTTTCACAAGATTAGTATATGGTTAGACATTCAAATCACATTTGGGGTAAACTTTGGGATTTGGTTAAAATTTAGGACTTAAGTGGAAAATTTGGAGGAGATGTGCAAGGACTTGAATACCCCTCTACTATCTCAAAAACTTCCATGCAAACCCAAACACTCTCTCGGCCAACCATAAAAGAATCAACATTTCCATTTCTGCCTCACTTCATTTTCTTCTCCACTCCAACACTCAACCTCCTCTAACCGTGCACCACTTTCTCTCCACCATCTCACTTCAAACCTCAGACCACTACAACATTCCTCTCCACCTTGTTAATGTCGACCGGGAGAAAGAGAGCTGCATTCTACATCCGAGAGTAGAAAAAGAAAAGAGAGAACCCGTGAGCTGCAACATCCCTGGTTCTGTCCGTGAGCGTGAGGGAGGAAAGAAAGAGTCACTGCGCGAGTTCCATCCCTTACTGCACCTTTAACCAGCTGCAATCATCTTCCAACCGCAACACCACCACAGCTGCCACCACCGCGACCAAAACCAGGACCAACACCTTCAGTTCTTGTGCGAGCCGAGAGAGGAAAGAATTGACAGCTTGTGTGTTGTGTGAGCTGAGCTTCTAGCTGAGGTAAATTCGAGACTTAGAATAGCTAATTACTGGTAGATGAAGCTATATCAGAGCTTGCATGTTGAGTTGTGCGTTCGGATAATGAAATCAAAAGCACCAGAAAAATCTGGTTTGATGGAAATGGAAATTGCCGTGAGTTGATTAGGAAATGCAACTTTTAATTTGCTTTATTGTGATGATCTGAGCTTGTAATTGTGATTAACCAACTAAAAACTAAGTGATTACGTCTTGCATGAGGATAGTTAGATCGGTTAGGCAAGAAAAATAAAAATGAAATGAAATCAGCTTGCATGCAAGATCATCCGAGGCTAGCTGGAGAAATTTCTGAAAAATTTGATGATTATGGCTGTTGTTCGAATTTAATCTTGAACTGGAAATGTTAATTAGCTAGCTAAGAATTTACATGTCGAATTTGAGTACCTAATACTCTGTTTTAGCCGAAGGAAAATTGGACATAAGATTAATGAGTTGTTGGAAAATTTTGGAAACCGAGAGGAGGAGTTGGAAATTTTGCAGTTGGTTTCTGGAAATTTTCTTGGAGTAGAATGGATGGAAATGCCTGGAAAATGTTGTTTTAAGTCTTGTATGACATTCAGTAGTAAACCATTTGAACTGTTGGCAAATTTGGCCAAAATTGTTGACACATAGCTGCTGGAAATGTTTCAATTTATCCGAGGAAGGGAGAAAGGATTTTTCCAGTTTTTTTTAGGAAACTTGGGATTCCAAATTGTTGCATTTAAAGTTTGACAAGCTGTAAAATATTCCACACTTGTTGATTTCACTCTAGAACTTTTTAAGAGGGTCATGCATGTGAAAGTTGGGGTGACAATTTAATTGTTATGGCCAAAATGTTGAGATGGAAATTCTTGGCATTGGAATGGATATTTTGGAATAAAAATTGCTGGAAAATGTTTAATCTGCATTTGGTTACAAACAATGAGATGTTGGTTGAAATCTTGGATAAGATAGTGTTGCAAATTTTGTCCCTGTGTTCATGTACCTGTTAGTGATTCTAAACAGTTGAATTATTGACTATATTGCTATAAGAAATGAATATTGGATACCAAGAGCTAATGATTGACGAAGCCTTGGTCTTTTGTTTAATTTTTGATCAGAAATGAATCTGTTGAAACCTAGGGCTAATGATTGACGAAGCCCTAGTGAGATTTCTATTTGAAATGTGAGAGTGCTATATTGACAAATCTGAAATATTACGTGCTTGTGAATCGGAATCGTAAGGAATCCGTTTTGGTCCTGTGAATTTGAAAAAGTTTTAAGCAAGTTATTTAAATATATCTTCGCTCTAATATTGAACGATAAAACTTAGTATTGTACGTTAACATTAGAAATTTTGTGTAGGGATCTTCTAAACTTTGCCGACTCGATATTTCTTCCTTTAGCTTAAACTAGCCTTATTATTTTTGGAAAATGATTTCACTAGTTTCTAAGACCCTAAGTCTTGTTTTACTTCCTTTTCTTTCCTTAAAATTTGTCCCTGGCTAGATGTCTAGAGGAAAATTGACAAAATACGAGATTTTAATAATTCTAACTAAAAAGCGTTGAAAACTTGCTCGGCAAGAAAACTACTTCAAGTAAATTAGATTTAGTTGCACCTCTAGAAAGAAAAGTATTTTTAAGGAAACTATACGGAATATTTTGCTACTTTTACTAGTTTTAGTCTTAAGTGGATTGTCGAATTATTTCGAGAAAATAAACTATTTATATACTAGAGAATCTTTTATATTTATAAACCTAGAACTTGGATAGAAAACTTATAGTTCTTAAAACTTGGTTTTCTAGGATCTAGCGAGGACGCAGATTTTGATTCCCAGCTTGACTGGTGACTTCACTCTTGGTGAGTGTCCCTGCTTGTTCTATGCTTACTTGATTAAAGCGCTTTCTTGACTTGATATGTGATATTTGGAAAAATGGTTTCTGATCCATCGAAGTGAGCAGTGTGTACTTTATCACACTAGCCGTTCGAGTGGTGACTTGCTTGAAATGCTTTCATGAATACTTGCTTGCACTTGTTAATCACTAGGCAGGGGAGTGTACTACACCTTAATGGTGGAAAGAACTCTTACCCTGACCTTTCGGCATTTCGGATATGCATTTTTTGAGAGAATTAATAATAAATAGGATTTCTACTTTAATATAAGCGTTGCTTCACTAGTTCACATATTCCTAGCTTTTGAGGCATGAAAGGCCTTATCCTGTACTTTATTTCCCCATGCAGGTGTTTTGTCCATACACAGGATAAATGG